CACCCGGCGGGGCTTTTGCAGCCACTTACCATTCTGGAATGGAAGTGGGAGCATGTGACCATGGACTTCGTGGTGGGGCTACCACGAACAGTGGACAACTATGATGCAGTATGGGTAGGGGTCGATACGCTCACCAAGAGTGCACACTTTGCCTATCAACATTATTTATCCTCTCGAAAGATTGGCCAAGCTGTACACGGAAGAGATTGTGAGATTACATGGAGTTCCGATATCCATTGTCTAGCTCGGATAGGGATCCACGATTCACATCCCGATTTTGGCCAAAGCTTCAAGCATCTTTGGGTACTAAACTAATGTATAACACAACTTTTCACCCACAGACGGATGGACAGTCCGAGCGGGTGATACAGGTTTTGGAAGATATGCTTAGGGCATGTGCTCTGGAGTTCCAAGGAAGTTGGGACAAACATTTGGCTCTAGTGGAGTTTTCCTAAAACAACACTTATCAGGCGAGTATTGGCATGCCTCCATACGAGGCATTGTATGGGAGAAAATGCAGGACACCGTTGTGTTGCGACGAGATTGGCGAGGCCAAACTCGAAGGAATTGAACTTGTCAAGATCACCAGGGCTAAGGTGAAGATCATTCAGGATAGACTCAGGACTGCTCAAGACCGGCAGAAGAGCTATGCTGACAAACGGCGGAGGCTGTTGGAGTTCGAAGTCAGTGACGAAGTTTTCCTAAGGATCTCTCCTTGGAAGGGCATCATCCGATTTATATCGAGGGGAAAACTCGACCCCCGATACATTGTTCCGTTTGAAATCCTTGAAAGGATTGGGGCTGTGACTTACTGTCTCAAGTTGATGTCGGAACTTGAGAAGATACACGACATGTTTCATGTATCAATGCTAAAGAAATACGTACGAGATCCGTCTCATATCCCTGAGAAACCATCGGTGGAGATACGTGAAGATCTACAGTATGCAGTGGAACCGGTGAAGATTGTGGGGTAACAGGTAAAGAAATTGAGGAACAAGGAGATTCCTATGGCGAAGGTTCTTTGGAGGAGTGATCGAGTCGAAGAAGAAACCCGGAAGACCGGGGGGAACTTGTAACATCGTCCCCAAATATATTTACCTTTAAGTGAATAATGTATTGAACCCTGTGGAATTGTTAATGAATTTACGAGGTTGTGAATTTTTATTAATTTTTTCGCGTGAATAGTAGATTGCACGTGGGACCCACATCGGGAGCGGGGACCACCCGATATTCCCGAGACCATATATTTTATTCATCTTGGACTAGATAATATTTATATAGCGGTGGATAATTTATTTGGGCCAAAGAAAAGACATAACGTGGACCGGTTGGTCAAAAGTGGCTCAATTACCGGTTTTTGGTAATTTCACATATAATAGATCGAAATGAATTTCGGAGACTTATAAATTAAAGTTGGAGAATGTATATTCATTCTAAATGTCATAATGATTAAGAAAATATAATATATTTTATTTGACCCGATAAAATAAAATATATTTAAAACAGTCCGAAAAATACAACTTTCGGGACCAATGATACACTTCTGGACAAAAAGGGTTGACCTCCCACATTATTCAAGGCTTGGGTCGGCTGGTATGATAGGTGAGGTGGGAGAGAACTGATTTGAGATGTTTGGCATCAAAACAAATCATGGTGGCCCTCCTTTCTTCCACTCATTGCCCAAATTGAGACAAAGGAGCATCCCTACCCATCCCCTCCTCACTAGTTCGGCCAGCACCAAGGGAAAGGAGGAAAGAAGCTCTGCAACTTCATCTTTCATAGCCAAACTCGATCCAAACTCAAACAAGAAAGTTGGAAGGGAGTTAAAGAAGGAAAAAGCTAGGAAAAAGTGTGGAAATTAAGGTAATGACCTTATCATAACTTTTTCTTTATTTTTCTTCTATCATATGACTTATATATCATATGAAGAACCCTTAGGATTGTTCTACATGCTATGAGGGTGAAATAACGGGTTTAGGGCTGAGCATAAACCGACCCAACCCGAATACCCGATCGGATATTTCGGATATTACCCGACCGGGTAGGGTCAACCGACCCGAAATGGAAACCCGAAAACCCTCCAGGCTAAAGCCTGCATATTATTAGGCTGGGTAGGATTTGGGTTTTGCCCAACCGACCCGTCCGAAAACCCGAACCCCCAGCCCAGTACCCAGCCCATATATATTTATATATATACTCCCCTAATAAACCCTAACCCATGTCTGTCTCCTTCTCTATCTCTCTACTCTGATTCTCCGACTACTCTCTTCGCTGACCTTACTCAGTTACTCTCACCCCCTGTTCCAAATCTCTTTGCCTCTCTTGACCACTTCATCTCTCTGGACTCCGATTGTGAGATGGTGACTCTATGAGGGTTTGAGTGTGTTCGTCATTTACTCTCACACGCTTCTTGAGTTCTTGGTTTGAAGTTGAAACCCTAAAGTCATCGGATCGGACGTTGAACTGTGGAAGCATTGCCCCTTTTCCGGTTGGACCTTCTGGTAAACCTAAGCTCTGTCTCAGTCTCCCAATCTCTCATATCAGTCACACTCACGCGTGAGGTATAACTTATATTCTCTGCTTGATGAAGAGTGTGTAAATTGTGGTTGTGACTTACTGACTTGTGAGTTGTTGTTTATTGTGTGACTCGAGCATCCTTGAATGTTGAAGTGTGGAAGTAAAATATGATGTAGAAACTGTATTGTTGGCATGTTTGTCCGAAACTGTAATTATGTATACATTATGGTTATGTCTTTGCTTGAGGTTGTGTGTATGAATGTTGCCTATTACATATTGGTTATTGTTGTTGTAGAAGTTGTGTAAGGTTGTGTGTATGAATGATTTCCAGACTTCATTTCTATGGCTTGATTTCTATGGTTACCTTGACTGAGAATGATTTGAAATGATGAATGAATGATTGATGATGAAAGAATGATTGCTTCTTTCTGAATTGTCATAGTGGAAGCTGTGTAAGGTTGTGTGTATGAATGTTGCGTATTACATGTTGGTTATTGCACTCAAGTTGAGTAGTTAGAGTTGACTGGTTCTTCTAAGTCTGTAGAGAATAGTTAAGCCTACTGCTTATACTATTCTGTAAATCACTTTGGTGATTGTTCCAGACTTGATTTCTATGGCTACCTTGATTGAGAATGATTTGAAATGATTATAACTATGTATAAAGATGAAAGAATGATTGCTTCTTTCTGAATAGTCATAGTGGAAGCTGTGTAAGGTTGTGTGTATGAATGTTGCCTATTACATGTTGGTTATTGTTGATGTAGAAGTTACCTGATTGACTCAAACACTCAAGATGAGTAGTTAGAGTTGACTGATTCTTCTAAGTCTGTAGAGAATAGTTAAGCCTACTGCTTATACTATTCTATAAATCACTTTGGTGATTGTTCCAGACTTGATTTCTATGGCTGCCTTGACGGAGAATAATTTGAAATGATTTCTATGATTGTGGCCCCAAAGAATAATGAATGAATGAATGATGATGAAAGAATGATTCCTTTTTCTTTCTGAATTCTGATTGTGGAAGCTAAGAAAAGGTCCCTAAGTTTCATGTAATGGTTTATAGATGGAATCCCAAGACATATCTGTATCTGGTGCTCAACCTCCTCCACCCCAACAACCTGCAGTGGAAGCTGAGAGTGTGAAAGCTCAAACTCAGAATATTGCTTCAACTGCTGGTGTTGGACAAAAGAGGAAACAGGTTGAAACTAGATCCAAGATATGGGAACACTTTCACAAAATGTATGATAGCAAGGGAGTCCTTGTGAAGGGCAGATGCATATATTGTGTTAAGGTGTACTGTTGTGAGTTTAAAAGGCATGGAACTTCTTCTCTGAGAAACCACATGCTTAGTTGTCTGAAAAAAACTCACTCTAAAGAGACAAGACAAGCCCTATTAACCTTCCAACCAGTTGTTAATACTCAAACCACCTCTCCAGAAACTATTGGGGTTATAGGGACCTGGGTATTTGACCAAACCCTAATCAGGAGAGCTCTTGCAGAAATGTTAATAATTGATGAGCTTTCTTCTAGGTTTGTTGAGAGGCAGGAGTTTAGAAAGTTTGTCTCTGTAGCATGTCCAAGGTTTGTTGTCCCTTCTAGGTGGACTATTGCTAGGGACATTTACCAAATATATCTAGATGAAAAGCTGAGCCTAAAAAGGTTGTTCAAAGAGACCACCCAAAGGGTCAGTATAACCTTTAACACATGGACCTCTATTCAGAGGATCAACTGCATGTGTATTACTGCCCATTTCATAGATAGTCAGTGGAAGCTACAGAAGAAGGTGATTTCATTTGTGCAAGTGTGTTCCCACAAAGGGGAGTACATTGCCAAGGCCCTAGAAAATTGCTTATTAGAGTGGGGATTGAAGATTATATTCTCTGTGACTATTGATAATGCTAGCAGTAATGATACTGCAATAGGATTTTTAAAGAAAAAATTTATGTCATGGGGTGCTTCTCTTGTCAGAGTGAAATACCTACACATGAGATGTATTGCCCACATCTTGAATCTGGCAGTCCAAGATGGGTTGAAGGATGCTGATACATCTGTACTGAGGGTTAGGGAAGCAGTGAAGTATGTTAGGAACTCTCCTTCTAGGCTCCAAAAATTCAAGGATATATCTGATTTGATAGGAGCAGAGTACAAATGTGGCCTGCACCTAGATGTTCCTACTAGGTGGAACTCCACCTATCTGATGTTAAAGTCAGCATTATCCAATGAAAGAGTTTTTGAAGCATATGAGGAGAATGAGAGTTGTTATGGGTCTGATTTAGGTACAAAAATGCCTGATATTGGTGATTGGGTGAATTGTGAATCCGTAGTGTCAGTTCTTGAAAGTTTTTATGAAATGACCCTAAGGATTTCTGGCTCTTTGTATGTTACTTCCAATACTTTCTTCTCTGAAATTTCTGATTTGTTTCTGGTGCTTCAAGACATGATGAAGTCTCCCAAGGCTTCCACAAGTAAAATGGGCTCTACTATGAAATTCAAACTGGACAAATATTGGGGAGACCCAGAGAAAATGAATTTTCTGATCTTTTTTGCAAATGTGCTTGACCCAAGGGAGAAGTTTGAATACATGCATTTTCAATTGAATGCCCTTTATATAGAACCAAAGGGTGTGAAGTTCTTTGAAAGTATCAAGCTTGTTTTGCATGAGTTATATAATGATTATGTGTCCAACTACTCTGATTCTGGTACTGGGAGCATTATTTCAAGCTCAACTCCCTCTCAAACACAATTAGAGACGGTGTCTGCAAGACCTATCTCCAAATTGAAAACCTAGCTAAAAAAACAGAAGTTTGAGAATGGGCAGTTGGGTTCGAAACAAAGTGAGTTGGAACTGTACTTGAGTGAGGCCATAATTGAAGAGGATACAGATTTTGACATCTTAAGGTGATGGAAGTTAAATAGTGAGAGGTTTCTTATCCTCTCAAAAATGGCTAGAGATATTCTTGTTGTTCCAATCTCTACTGTTGCTTCTGAGTCCACTTTTAGTACTAGTGGTAGAGTGTTGGACTGTTTCAGAAGTTCATTAAGTCCAAAAATTGTGGAAGCTTTAATCTGCACTCAAGATTGGCTAAGAAATCAAAGTCACCCTATCTCAATTGAAGAAAATATAGATGAAGTTCAAAGGTTGGAAACAGGTCAATTTAAACTTCTTTATTTTTGTTTTACATTTTATGTACTTCATATGTTTTCTTTGATATTAAACAGGCTGATTTGTTAATTTTTTTTTTTTGCAGAATTAATTGATGGTAATGTTACTGGTGGTCCTGATGGCTATGTTGGTGGATCTTTGCAGGATCCTATTGCAGTAAAAATACTGCTTTTTTTACTTATTTATTGTTGAGCATTATATATGACTGATTTTGTTGGCAAATTTGATTGTGAATCACTGAATTGTACATGAATGATGGAAGCAGTAAACATAGTTAAGGCTGGTAACAAAAGCTTATTGCCCATTTGCCCCTTGTTAAGTTATAATGAATGGTAACACAAGCTTATTCTCCTTTAATCATTTAAATCATTTCTTTATTGATGGGCTAATGGCTATGATGAAGCTTCCACAATAAACTGATTTTGTATGGGTTGGTGTTGTTTTAAGTGATGGCTAGGTAACTATAGTTGCCGCCATTTACTTCAAATCTGTATGCCCCCATATAAATTTTGAATGTGAAAATAAGCTACCTGAGCCTATGCCCCTTGTGAACTGTGTAATGGTAATACATTTATACCTGTTTATTCTCCCTTTATAATTTCAATCATTTTCTTGGCTATGATGAAGCTTCCACAACAAACTGATTTGTCATGGGTTGGTGTTCTGTTAAGTTATGGCTAGGTAACTATAGTTGCCGTCATTTACTTGATATAATATGCCCCCATACAAAATATGAAGTGAAAATAAGCAATCTGAGCCAATATTTATGCATCAGTGCGATAATCTTGTTTTAAACAATATACTATTTGTTTAGATGCTTAACATACTTGTATTTTTATAGGTTCAAGTTTGAAGGCAGTATGAAGAAGTGTAGACCTGAAGAAGGAATTGAATGGGATTGGCTGCTTGCGAAGTGTTTTTGTATTTTTGCTTTTATTACTTTGCATGTCAAAACCTTGTATAATTGCACAATTGGTAATCTGGTACTGTGGTTCAGATTGTATATTTTGTTATGTGTTACTTGTTAAACATTAAAACTTGGTTAGCCAACTTATCACGTTATGAACTTGTATGTTCATAAAAACTGTTAATTTATGAACTGGGTCTGGGAAATCCCCTTATATTGTGTAATTTCTGTTTATCCTGTATAAATTTCAACCAGTTGTGAAAAGAAATTAAATTTTAGTAGTTAAGTAATATTTTTTGGATATCCGAAATATCCGATATCCGACCCATACCCGAAAGCAACCGAACTTCAAAATATCCGAAATTTTTACTCTTAAATATTTATGGGTAGGGTTACAGAATTTAACCCCGATACCCGAACGGGTTATCGATTTAAGAACCTGACCCGCCCGAACCCGACCCGTGCTCTCCCCTAAACGGGTTGGAAGATGGTTCTAAGTCCAAAAGCGGACTTAGAAGCCAAAATGACCGGTTTGCCGGAAAATAACCTCTTAAGGGTTATTTGTATTGATCGAAGTTTTATGATGTTAAAACCTTGTTAGAAACTCGTCAAGGGTGTTTTTAGAGCTTCACCGGAGTTTCTCCGGAATTGGTCAAAGTCCGCCGGAGTTGGTCAAAGTTCGCCGGAATTCGCCAAAGTTCAATCAGGGAGAGTAGAACGCGCTAAGGCTCACTTAAGGTGAGGATGACCGACTATATTGTTTATAATCATTGGGTTAATTTCATGAGATTTCCTAAATGAATATAAAATGTGATTTGCATGGGTTATTAATGGTTAATAATGCATAAATGAAATTATTATTAATCTTCTTATCTTCTTATTATACCTAAAAGCACTACACCGGAGAGAAAGTTCTCCGGCCTAGTGCTCTGGGCTAAAACGTAATTTCACTCGCAAACTAATCGCGCATAATCTTCTCTTCTATTCGCTCAGCTATAGCCAGGCTTTCTCTGCCATCTCTTCTCGACGCCCACTCCAATTCCAGTGCAATGAGAATTTCTTGCTTTCTCTGCAATCGTATCCTTCGGTGATTGTTGCTGGAACTAAGAACTCAAGGCCTCTGATCTCTGAGCCGAAATCACCATTGCCTTTCGATGCCGTTAAGTTCTGCACCACATGCCTCAGTAGCTCCCACAAGAAACTGCTACGGTGCTACCCCTCTATGCCGAAATCACCCTCGCCGTTCAAAGCTATCAAGGCCCCGCACCTCAGGCGTCAGTAGCTCCCACAAAAAGCACTTGATCTTTTCTTTGATCTAAGCTTTCCATTCGAATTGGTATTATAATCTCAACCCTTTATATACATAGTATTAGGTATTTCTTATAGATCAAATTGTTTTGTTTAATTCGATTCAGTCAGGTTGAATAAAATACATCTCAACATCAATGGAACTCATATATTTTGTTATACTACGATAAACAATGTTAGTGTTGATAGTTAACCCCAACACCATTGTCAAAATTGGAAATTATTTGACCATTTTTATTTTTGAAATTCTTTTACATATGATTAGGTATGAATCTTGAAGCCAGAGGTATAATGTTATATTTATGCTCCAATTTTTTTACTTCAAATGTGTCTCTTAAGGTTCTCTGACATTACTTCGTGACTCAGCTACTTTATCTGTGAACTATAGTGAATCACTTGAATGTCTCTGCCATTTTACCATATTGCTAAAATATTTTGATTATTCTTTAAAGTTTCTGTCTTTACATAGATTCAACCTACTTGATCCAGTTTATCTTTACTTGGGTGTTGCTGCAGGTCAAGTTGATAATAGTGACTAAAGTCCCGGGTGATGTAGAGCAGAGGAGGCTGTTCGGACTCCATCGGGCAGGTTAAGTTGACATTGCCTACAACATTAATTTTATGTTTTGTTTTCTTTTCACACAATTTTTTCCACTATAACAGATATCCATACAATTTATGCTTCATATAAGTTGTATAATCCATACAGTTTTCTCTTAACAACTCTTAAGTCTTAAATTCAATCAATTGGTCTATTAGAATATTTTGTTGGAATAAGTTCATATAAAACTGGATTTTAATTCATTTAAATATCATGACAGTGTGAAAAGTTCTTCTAATCTATATTCAGTTCCGACAAATTAAATTCTTATGTTTTTAATTTGGATTTTTATACTTATGAACGAGCATTCGAATTTCAGTTCATCCAATTTATCTTTACTTGGATGTTATTCCAGGTGATGTTTATAATAATGACTGAAGTCCCGACTGATTTTTACTTTTATTTTCTTTTCAAGCTATTGCTTTTCCAATAAAACAGTTATCCTTGAAAACAATTTAACTTATTCATCGAGTTAATTTCCTTAGAATTGGTATTCTTATATATTAGGATTTTTCAGCTCTATAGTTAGGGGCTTATCTAAATTATCTATTATGACATTTACTAAATTGGCATTATTAATCTGGCTTTCTAAGAATTGATCATACTACTTCTTTCATATTTTTGTGTACTTTTAATTTTTAAATGGCAGTTCCTAGTTTTGTGCAAATTCTTTCATTCCATTTTAAATTGACCATTTTGTCTAACACCCTATTTAGTTGCTTTTAACTAATAACTATAGAATTAATGGTTATTTTCAGAAGGCTGAAAGCTGAATTACTATCAACTGCATATTTTCTTTTTCTTGTGTCTCATATATATTATAAGCTTATGATTAGTCATATTTAAGTAGAAATAAATTGGTTACGAAATACCCCCGAAGATCATGTTGCGATTAATGACAGTTGATAGATGATAAAATTAAATCGTCATGACTCCTAAAAATATGTAATTTTTATTAACATGTTAAAATTCATATTTTTAGAAACTACATTAGGAGTTTTATTCAATTGCAAAACAGGAATTTGAAATTGATAAAATGAAATTAGAGACTAATAATGACATAAGCTTTAAATAGGGACAAAGATACCACGGTGATAAAAGTCTTTCCCGATTTACTCGGCAGATTGTCTTTACATTTATCAAAACTCTTTATATTTATTACCATGTGTCTTTATAAACTACTTTGATGTTCAAATTCATGCAGTGTAAGTCTGTATTTTAGTTATAGTCCATCAATAATATATATATTTTTAAGACATGTTTTAAGATGTTCTCTTGAAGTGTGTATTATTTTTTCTAACGTGTTAATAAATTGTTCTTTTATTACAAAACTGTTCAATTTAAGTTCCCTTTATGAATTTTTAAGGGCTTATTTTAAGATGTGGTTTAAGACATTTTTTTTACAAAACTGTTCAGTTTAATAGAAAAAAGTGGTTTTATTTTAAGCATTTTTTGTGTTTAATTTGACATTTGAATCAAGTGTTTGTAAATACTATAACAACTTGGTCATTTCAAATGTCATCATGGTGAATGTATTATAATAATTCACATAAATGAAAAATATATATTTTTTGTTAGGTTTGTTGATTATACCCCCCCCCCCCCACACACACACAAAAAAAAAAAAAACCCAATAAAATTGCTTACTTATTAAAATGGAACTAAAACTGCCAGTAAAATTGAGAATTGAAAAAGACCATGCATCTCAATAAATCCTAATATTTCCATCATTTGCAATGGAGCCTAAGATTCACTATTTTTTGTCTTGAGAATATGATGGAATAAAGAAAAATGACTCACTTAACTGTCTGCACTTCTTTGTTATAAAGCAGCAGTCACTCTATGCAATTTTGGACGCGATTTTCACTATGGCTCATCCGGAAAAGTCTCTCTGTGCTTTAGTATAGGGGTAAGACTGCGTACATCCGACCCCCCTTACCCTACCATAGGTGGAAGCCTTTGCGGCACTGGGGTAATGATAATGATGATGATGATGATGATGAATGATCTCGATAAATCCTAATAAATTCATTCTTAAAGAATGAATTTGTTTCAAGTTTCTCACTTTCTCTAAACTTACATCGATTTTGTGATTATTTGTTATAAAATAATGTAGGTATAAGTGTTCGTTGATATAATTTTATGAAGTATTTTTTTTTTGTTTTTTAGTAGGGGGCTTGATGACCACTTGTGTTTGCCTTGAATGTTGTTTAAATGAATATTTCTATTTTTAGTATCACTAGACTAAGAAGAACTAAAATGATATGAGAAAATACCTGAAATATGAGTCAAAGCAATGTAAAGTTTTATAAAATGATCACTATGTTTGTTTTTTATCAAATAGGAGTGTGTTACTGTTAGTCTTAAAATTTACTGTCATACTATGACATTATCAGGATTTAAACATGACAGTATATT